ATTATCAGCGGCTTTATCAGCTATCTCTCTCTCTCGAGAGAGAGAGTTTGTATATTCGACCAAGGCCGGAAAGAGAGTCACGCTTTTATATTCTTCCAATTTCGTTGCTCTATGATTACATTGTTTTGTCATTGGTTTTGATTGTGAGATCTGTCGAAGTCTCTATGTCTGTCTACCTGTTTACACCCTCCACTATTATAAACCAAACATATAAAGGCTTCGCCCAAAAACTTTTTTATAGCCTCAGCCATATGGCTAGATCATTTGATATGGTTAAAATGCTCCTCACCGAAATAACGGTTTTAGATCCTGGGTGTCTTTGGACAAAATTCGTTTCCGGACATTTGGAGTCCATCTAGCGATTTCTGTACGTCCGTCTGCCAGGTTGGCTGATGCGCACGATAACTGGTACATCGTAATATTTTTGTCAAACTTAGATCGAGATCGGAGATGAGCAATATCGATCCACTCCTTCTGGTACCTCCCACACAAAATGTCAATCTTTTGCAAGAAAATAATTTACTACACAGAAAGAGAAGTGATGATCCGATTTTGCTACAATTTTGCGAATTCTAATATTTGCATCTGTGCTAGGCCAGGTACGAAAATGGACAATATCGGCCCACTCCATCAAGTACCTTCCACACAAATGGTCAACATTTTGAATAATTATAACTTTTATAAAATATGATGTAAGTGTCCGATTGTCTTCAAATTATCGGTTCACTCCTTCTGGTACCTCCCCCACTAAGGGTCAAAATTTTGAATATCCATGAAGCTCATAATACGCGGAATAAAGATCTGATTCTTATTTAAACTGTGTCATACCTGTTCCTTAATTGATAGAAAACTGATTTTCAAGAATTTTACCATGGCTTCGATTTGGTTCTTTTTTTTTCTAAATTTTACGTTGTTTTGGGTAGTCGACATTCGGCCAGGGATGCAGACTTTCTCCTCTGGTTATGTCCAACACCATCTAAGCGACTGAAGATTTTTTTTTTTAATTTGATGCCGTTTTAGGTTATTGGGGATCGGCCGGAGCTTGAGACTTTCTCCTCTCAGGACGTCCATACGTACGTCCGATGCTGGTCTAACCCAGGTCTTGGATCCGAAATTTCGGGTCAAATATCCGGATATCCGGGTTGGTCCCCAAAAATACTTTCCCGGAACCAGGGTATAAATACCTACCTGAGGAAAAAATCGAGAGTTTTTACTAAACTAGAGTTAAGCAATTTATTTAGAAGTATTAGGCAGGATGCGTGTTGTTTTAAATCGTTTTTGTTGTGTTGGATGATATTTGAAAATATCCAGTTTCATAGCACACCGTAAGTCAGAAATCCACCACTTCGACCAGCCGCATGTGGTTATTATAAACTCCGTCGTACATATGAATGTTATTAAATTCTCAATTCTCTGAAACATTATGGCAAACTAGGTTAGAATTCTAGGATTAGACCTTTTAAATACAAAAATGTAAAAAAATATGATTATATTTGCAATGTATATAAATATTCCAAATGCAATTTTTTTAACCTCACATTTGACCTGATGCAGCACCATTCACAGAAAAAGGCTTTTATTTCAACCACAGTTACACAAAATTTTTCTTAGAAATTATTTTTAAAAAATATATTTCACAATATTTCTTTTCATACTATCAAGCATTATCTATTGTAATTGTTCTATGCATGTTAAAAATGTCACGTTAATGTTTGTTGTTGCCATATATTTGTTAAAGTATCTGTAACCAAAAGCACATACAAATTTATTAATTATTATTGTCAAAGTTATCAATTTTTCAAAACAATAGTTTTGTTCTGGTAATAAAATTAATATATTTAATAAAATAATGGTAATAATAATAATAATAATAATAATAATAATAATAATAATAATAATAATAATAATAATAATAATAATAATAATAATAATAATAATAATAATAATAATAATAATAATAATAATAATAATAATAATAATAATAATAATAATAATAATAATAATAATAATAATAATAACGATAAATACGATTTTTTAAGAATTAATTTAATTGTTTTAATAAAAACTTTATTTTTTAACGTAAACATAAAAATTTTTAATTAAAAATTATTGATTAACAAAAAATATTAATTTTTATTTTTTTTAATTAATTTCAATTTTTTTAATAAAAAGTTGATTTTTTTAACTTAAAAACCGAAATTCCTTATTAAAAAACTATTAAATTACAAAAAAAAATATTGATATGTTTTAATAATGTTTTTAATTTATTAATAAAGATTATAAAAATTATGATTTTTAAAAAATTAATTAAATTTTTTTCACGAGATTTTTTTTAAGTTTTATTTAAAAAATAGAAAAAACATATTTTTTTAAATAAAACTTAAAAACAAAACAAAACATACTTAAAAACAAAAATTCTTAAATAAAAACTAAAAAAATATTAATTTTCTTGAAAAAATGATTTATTAAAAATTAATCAAAATATTTTAATAAAACAATTTTTTTTTTTCTAGACTTAAAAACAACTATTCTTAATTGAAAAATATTATCATTTTCTTGAAAAATTATTTTTTAAATATTAGTTTAAATTTTTTAATAAAAAGTTTATTATAAAAAAATAATTTTCTTGAAAAATATATTTTGTTGTTGCAAAATGGTCAGGCTTTATCCCTTTATTGTTGTTTTTATAAAAACAACGTTTGTCTATTAGTGGCGAACGATGGTAATGTTTACCAGGGGGTAAGGCAGGGAATATTTTTTTTTTTTTAATTAATTGATACATTTAAATAAAAAATTTATTTTTGAGTTAAAAACAAAAATTCTTAATTAAAAACTACTAAGTTATAAAATATACTAATATTCCTAAAAAAATCAATTTTTAAAAAATAATTTAAATTTTTTTAATTATTTTTATTAACTTAAAAGCAAAATTTATTAATTAAAGTTATAAAAATACAAATACTCGTGAAAAAATTCTTTTCAAAAATTCTGTATTAAAAACTATTAAATTGTAATATTAATTTTCTTAAATTTTTCTTTAAATGTTTTAATAAAACAAAAATTTTAAATAAAAAATATTAATTTTCTTGAAAAAAAAATTATTATTATTTTTAAATTAATATAAATAATAATAAAAAAATATTTTTTTAACTTAAAACCAAAAATTCTTAATTTAAAACTATTAAATTATAATTTTCTTGAGAAGAAATGTATTTAATATAAATCTTAATTTAAATGCTTTAATAAAAAAATATTTTTTTTACTTAAAAACTAAAATTCTTAATTAAAAACTATGGAATTATAAAAATATGATTATTTTAAAATTAATCTAAATTTGTTAACAAAATAAAATAATTTCTTTTATTAAAAAATTTAAATAATTTTAAAAAACATAATTTTTTTCAAGAAAATTAATATTTTTTTTAATAGTTCTATATTTGTTTTTAAGTTAAAAAAAATAATTTTTTTTTTTAATTAATAATTAATATAATTACAATTAATTTAATTAAGAATTTTTGTTTTTAAGTTTAAAAAAATAATTTTTTTTTATTAAAAAAAATTAAATTAATTTAACAAAATATATAATTATAATTTTATATAATGATGTTTTTAATATTTAATTTAAATTTTTTAATAAAAACAAATATTTTTTTTAACTTAAAACAAAAATTCTTAAAAAAAAAAGTAATTTAAATGTTTTAATAAAAATATTATTTCTTTTTAAACTTAAGAACCAAAAAAATTTTTTAATTAATGTTTAAACATAATTTTTTTCAAGAAAATTATTATTTTTAATAATTGAATAGTTTTTAATTTGAGAATTTGTTTTTAAGTTAAAAAGATTAATATTTTTTATAATTAATATTTATATAATTAAAAATATTATTTTTTTATGACAAAATTAAAATTAATTTTTAAAAAATATTTTTTTTCCAAAATAGAAAAATAATTTTCTTAAAAAAATTATGTTTTTTAAAATTGATTGATTCTTAATTAAAAACTATTAAATTATGAAAATATTAATTTTCCCGAAAAAAAATATAATTTTTTAAAATATTTATTGAAATGTTTTAATAAAGAATTTATTTTTTATCTTAAAAACCAAAACTAATTAAAAACTATTAAGTTACTTTATTTTTTAAATAATTATTTATATTTTTAAATAAATTTTTTATTTTTTTTTTTTACTTAAAAATCAAAAATGGTTAATAAAAAACTATTCAATTATAAAATTAATAATTTTCTTGAAATAATAATTTTCTTTTAAAAAATTATTTTAAATAATTTTTTTTAACATAAAAACAAAAATCCTAATTAAAACCTATTAATCTTAAATATCAGTTAATGGAAAATATTGAAAATTTTAATATCTAAAAATATTATAACAGAACAAAACTATTGTAATATTTATTTCATTTAAATAAAAATATTTCGTTTTATTTTTTTTTTTATTTTTCATTTCATTTTGAATTTTTTGTTTCTTCAGTCAATCATTTTATTTGTTTGTTTTGCATATAAATAAATGCTTACTTCAAGTCATTTTAACTCATAAATGGGCTTTCAATTGTTGACTCTGTGTCACCCATACATACAATACGAAACAATACTCATACATACATATGTGTACTTGTACATGTCATGTCAATTTGAAAATGAACAAAAAATATTATTAACAAACAAAAAAAAAAAAAAACAATGATCAGTAAAAAACCACTTGTCCAATACTACCCCCCTCCTCACCCCATATAAATATTTAACCCAACACCCACACACACCTATACACATACACACACCCATCTACATCTAAATCTATGGAAAGGAAAATCATACAAACAATTCATTTAATTCTATTCAGAAAAAAAATAACAACAACTACAAATTAATAAATAAAAAATTCTACTGAAAAAAAAAAAAAAAAACTAAACATCAAAACACCAACAACAAAACACCTTTAAATGTATAATAACTTTATTATATTCTTCTATAATACTATTATTAAGGTCCATGAAGCTGATGCCTGTTTAGTGCTGGCAAATAAATATTGTCAGGATCCAGATGCTGAAGATGCTGCCAATATAATGCGCGTCATTTCTATCAAAAATTATAGTGATGATATAAGAGTTATTATACAATTAATGCAATATCACAATAAGGTAATAAATATTGGTTTTTAAATTCAACATTCCAACTAATATTTGCTAGACTAACCACAAAAAATAAGAAAAAAAAAAAGAAAACCGAAAAAAGAAACGTAATTCTAAGCTAAAAATTCAAACCTAATCAACTAACACACGCACTCTCTTAAAAAACGTATGCATGTATACCGGAAGTGGATATTGAGTGGGTCCTCCATATGCGTTCGAAATATGTGACCCGTATTACATTCTGTCTAAAATGTTGTTCTAACTCGTATGCTATGTATGTGTTGTTGTCTCACCACCTTCCCCCTTTTAACCCCCCAAAAACACTACCCCCTAACACTGTCCGTTTGATCCGTTGTTCATAAACCCTTAATGGTCCCCGGGATCATTTACACCCCCTCCCCCTCAACCCCTCAGCACATTGAGACTTTGTGTGTGTTTATTTGTGACCCCCCCCCCACCACCTCCATTTACCACCAAGAAAAACCCTCCCTCCCAACCCCTTTATAAAGTTATTTTGCAAAACGCGATCTCGAATCGAAACGAAACTCAATACCACATATCCATCTAAATACTCGTTGTTACAATGCGCCATTGATCCTTCCAGTAGAAAAGTGACAACTTCTCCGGAACGTTGTCGAGTTGTTCCGTAACCGGCTTTTGATGTTGTTAATGTTCAATTCGTAAATTTCGTAACGAAATGCTAAAACAATTCTGTTCGATTTTATTATTTTATTTGTAATTTTGTGACATCCATTTGTAGGCCTATTTACTTAATATTCCCTCGTGGGATTGGAAACAGGGTGATGACGTCATCTGTCTGGCGGAGCTGAAGCTGGGTTTTATCGCACAAAGTTGTTTGGCGCCCGGATTCTCAACCATGATGGCCAATCTGTTTGCCATGCGTTCCTTTAAAACGGTAAGTTTCAAGAGCTATCCACATCCATTTCATAGTTAACTGAACAACATCTGAATCACATCTACCTCTGCTTTCCGCCCTCTGGCGGTACAGAGCAAGGTGGGCAACTAACAACAAGACTACAGCCAGAACTTATCTAAGTAAATACCACACCCACACACACACATTATCACAAACATGAGCAGAAAGAATCGAAAGAATCATGGCAACGACTTTGCTGCTGCAGTTCTCCTTAGCCACATCTATCTATCTCTCTTTTTTAAGCTAGCCAAGAAAAAACCGAACAATTTTCTTTTTTCATTCAACAATTTACCAAATAAAACCTCCAATATATCTATAAAAAACCATCTACTGATTTAATTGATTCGCTACAGTCGCCAGACATGCAGTCTTGGACAAATGATTATCTACGTGGCACAGGCATGGAAATGTACACAGAAACCTTGAGTCCGACATTTATCGGGATACCCTTTGCTCAGGCCACTGAGTAAGTTAACACAAAAAAATGCACAGGCATTTGTTTTTTTGTCAGATACAAATAAATTAAAAAAATAATTATGAAATACGCCTATGTTTTTAAAAATAAGATGTTATAAGAATCGTATTAAAACTACTACACCTACTCGTATGTCTATGGAACATTTTATACATACACACACACACCTATCTCCCAACCCCTGTCTCTGAAACTACACTTTGTTTGAGCGTCATTCTTCTTTTGTTTGATTTGGATTTAAGTTGGAATCGTTTGTCTAAAAATGCAATTTAGTTTTAATTATTTTTTATATAATTTTTTATTTGAAAATATTTGAGCTTATATTTGATTTGAGTTTGTATAAAAAACGTATTTTTAATTCCTATTTGACCAAATGTGCCATGTTTCTGAGTAAAAAAGTAAAAACTAATAAAAAGTGAGAAAATGACTCAAAATAAACAAAGAAAAAAGTAAGACAAGCTTCTAGAAGCTTTTTCAAATATAAGATTGTGTAGGAGTGCTTTTTATAGTACATTATTTAGCCCTATAAGACTTTATCCTTTAAATGTTCATCTATCTATGGGAGACCTACAAAAGCTCTGCCGTACTAAGAACCTAATAAAAATTTACTCAATATATGCAACAACTCCAAAAACTCTGCTCTTGACAGGAGGTACGTTTAAAAGCTCAAGAATACATTTAAAAAGCTCTGCTTAATATAGGAGACATTTAAAAGCTATGCTGTACATTGGAGAGCTTTTCTGTTAAAAGACAACATTTAAGATTATATGGATATAGGAAGGCCTCTTTTATTTATATACAGAATTTTAAAGGTTTTCGATGTATGAGTTTTTCGTTAGTTAAGATTACATTCAAAACCTCTGTCTAATATAGGAGGCATTTAAAAGCTATGCTGTACATTGGAGACTTTTTAAAGCTCTTCTGTTAACAGACGACATTCAAAGTTATAAGGTTATAGAAAAGCTGTATTTTATAATATACAGGCTTTTAAGGGCCTATTAATTGCTAAATAATAATAATAATAATAATAATAATAATAATAATAATAATAATAATAATAATAATAATAATAATAATAATAATAATAATAATAATAATAATAATAATAATAATAATAATAATAATAATAATAATAATAATTATAAAAATAATAATTATAATAATAATAATTATAATTATAAAAATAAGAATAATTACATTAATAACAATAAAAGACATTCGACCAAAAGCACCCAAAAGTTCTTAAAAGTTTTTTCATTGGTAATGATATCAAAAAGCTCAAAAATACAATTAAAAGCTCTGTTGAATATAGGGGGCAATTTAACTACCATGCTTTAAATTTGAAACTTTTAAAAGCTCTTCAATTAATAGAAGACATTTCATACATATAGGAAAGCTTTTTAGTAAAATTCCTATGAGCATTTAGGATACCTCTATCTATTGCATAGCTATAAAATATTTCCTTTAGTTAGCAGAGCTTCAAAGGCACATATATTAATATAAGAATTTCACTCGAAAGCTTTTTTATAACTATAAATCTTTTTCCAAAGGACCTGATAACTAGAATACCATCGAAAGCTCTTTATTGATGGAATACTTTCTAATCATACTTTGCTGCTCTCAAAATGGGAAATATAAGTAAGAAGCCTTTACGAGCTTATTGCTAAATATATGTCCTTCACAAGCTGTGCTGTAAAGAAGTTACCTACAAAAAAAAATAGAAAATATTCATAATTATAAAAAAAAAAATTGGGTAAAATGTTTTCTATTAATATATGAGCGTTTAAAATTATTCAATCTGCAGCATAGCTTTAAAATGTCTCCTATAGTTAGTAGAGCTTTTAAATGTTCATCTATAAACATAAGCCATTCACTCAAAAGCTATTGCCTAAGTCTAAAACATTCATTCAAAAGCTTTTCGATCACCAGCAGCCCATAAAAAGCTCTATCACTGATGGAATACTCTCTAATTATAAATTGCTGCTCACAAAATGGGAAATATAAATAGGAAGCTTTCAAAAGCTTATTGTAAGTTGTATATGCCCTACAAAAACTTATTATTAACCTTCAACAGTTCATTCCTAAATATATGTCCTTCAAAAGCTGTTCTTAAAAGAAATTACCATAAAAAGCTTATTTATATATTCTCTATGTATAAAGTAATTCCTAGTGCTCTTATATGAATTGATGAATTTTTATTGTTCTTCTATAAGCAAACAACCTTCAAAAGCTTTTTATATAACAAATATATTCGAAAAGTCTGACTTTTATGAAACAGACTTTTAAAAGCTCTTCGGTAAAAATATATAAATCCACGTTGTTCTATTTTTAATACAATACATTCAAAAGCTCTTTTATTCAAATATTATATTTGAAAGGACTTTAATAGAATAGAATATAATAGAATAGAAAAGAATAGAAGAACTTTAAAATAACTTTTATAAATAGAAGATATTCAAAAGCTCTTCTATAAATAGAAAGCCTTTAATGCGTATTTCTGTTGCTAGAAGATCTTCTGTTGATAGACGACTTCTGAAAGCTCTTCGGTAACAATATAAATTTTTATATTCATTTTATAGATGGACTTTAAAAGCTCTTTTATATGTGGCCTATTTTCCTAAAGTTATTCCAAAACAGAGTACATTTAAAAACACTTCTATACAAAGATCATATTCGAAAGGACTTCTATAGATATATGTAATTTCTATTACTGGAGGAAAACGTGCTTAAGATAGCAAAGGCTTCATCTAGAAGAACTTAAAATAAGAAGGTTTAAAAAGGTACTTCCATTAGAAGACTTTTAAAAAAAGACCTACCTTTAACAGCTCTTCTATAGTTGAACTATTTTTAAAAGTTATTTTTTGTATGGAATGTCATTTAAAAACACTTTAATATATAAAAGGACTTTCAAAGCTTTTTCTATAGATGCAATACCTTCAAAAGTTCTTCGATTGATTGAATTTTTTTTAAAGTTTTCCATTCGTCAGATTTTTGACTAAATCTTTAAAAGCTCTTCAGTAGATGGTATTCCGTTTAAGAACACTTTGATAGATGAAAGCACTTTTAAAGATGTTCTATAGATGTAACTTCTATTGAATGGAACTCCTTTTAAAATGTTTTATGAATAGAAAATTTTAAAAAGTTTTTCTATAGATGGCATACTCTTAGAAGCTTTTCTTTGGAGAAATGCTATTTGAAAACCTTTTACATAGGGTAAGTGTGCCTAAGTTCGGCATGTCCCAGTAGTCGGCACTTTTTATTTTTAAGCCCAAATAAATGAAACTATTATAACTAAATGTATTTTGTTTACTTCAAATATATTGTCAGCTATCTTTGTGCACAATTTTGCTAAGAAAAGATGAATTATTCTAATAAAAATTAAATTTTTGTCTGTGAAGGTCCTCAACAATTCATATTCTTAAGAAAAGTACAATAAAGACGTCGAATTAGTTTAACTAAACAAAATGAATCAATTAATTATTATTATTAATTATTCTTACAAAAAAATTGGTATGCCGACTGTTGGAAAATGTCATACCGACAATTGACAAGTGGTGCCGACTACTGGCAAAAAAGCATTGTTTTAATAAAACTACAAATTTAAGAAATTTAATAAAAAATTATTAAAACTTTATTTATTATTGCAAAAATTATACAAAATTTCGAATCTGAATAAATTAAATTTGTAATAATTGAGATGTTCCACTCAGAATGGTGAGCGATTAAAAACGCGAAAATCCTAAAAGTGCCGACTACTGGTACACTTACCCTACATAATGTGTTTTAAAGTTTTTTTTGTAAATATAATACTTTTAAAAGCTCTCCTAAGAACACCACTTACGGTTTTCCGATAGATAGGCTGTCCTTTACAATTTAAAGCTTAAAATGACTTAAAAGCTCTCCTAAAGATGGAATACCATTTAAAAAGCTTTTATGGACATAAAACTTGTTAAAGCTCTCCGAGAGACATGTGACACTTAAAAAAGTTTTACTATAAAGTTTTACTATAGAGGGAATAGCTGTTTAAACCCCTTCTGTAGAGAAGATCTATCAAAGCTATGCGACATAAAAGAAAGTCGTACAGGTTATTCTAAAGACTGAAGACCTTTTAAAGCTCATCTTTAGGGAGAGGTTTTTCGAAAGCTCTTCCCTAGTCTTTTGAAAGCTCTTCTTTTATAAATCCATTTCAGAGAAGGCCTTTAAAAGCTCTACTGTAGAGGAAAAAAATAATATGGAAACCTCAATCGTTTTTTCTTACCCATTTTTTAGCTTATTTAGGATATTTTAAAACTCGTAAACCGATTCGAATCACTCTCAAAGTCATGCAGACGATACAAGGTTTTTAACTTGTCGAATGCCATCTAAAGTTAATTTATATATAGCTATTCTTAAGATAGAAAAGTCAGATTTAGAGTGGAGTTCAATTTAACTGTATATTCTATTTCTCATCCAAAATGCAAAAATTCTGTAAACTACGTTTCTGTAGGCATATTCCAATCGGGCCAGGTTTTCCATTGTTTAAATGTTTGTTTCTCAGAAGGCTATGAAATTGTTTACTTTACAGTGCATTAGTCATCTTTATCCATAAAACTTACAGCATTAGTGCTTTTCAGGATTACTTTTCATATTTTGTTTTAAATTCATTTTAAAAAGCGCCAGTTTTCTCTAAAACGCTTTAAAAAAATATAAAACACATTATAAATTTTTTTGAATTCATAAAATTTATCATTCAGTAATTTGCTAGGTATTTCAATTTAAAATATAGCCTGATATTCATAAATATACATTTCCGGACGAGACCTCAAAAACATGGCATTAAAATTTCATTTTTATTTTGAAATATTTTTTTTTCTTGTACAAACTTTTTATCTCCCCCCAAACGGAAATTGTGTTTTGTACATTCTTTAATTAAAAAAAAAAAAAAAATAAAACACAACCAAACCAAAAAAATCAACAACATCAAACTAAAATTAATTGTATTATTGTCAAATAATTATTATCAAAAACAAATTATATATTTTTAAAAAACAACCAATCATTGCTGTCTATTTCAAATATATACATATAAATATTATTTATGTTTCTTCATAAATGTGTTGAAAAAAAAAACAAGAAAATTGATTGCCTTCGATGTTGTGAAACAGCTTTTTATTATATAATTGTACTGCTCCATATAAAAAAAAAAAAAACAAAACTATAATAAATTAAGTACCAACAAAACAAAAAAAAAATGAAATATAAATAAGAAAACGTTCTCTTCATGTATTTAGTTCTCTTATTGTTATTGTTCTTATATTTATTATTGTTATTATGATTATTACTGTTATTGTCATTATTATTGTTATTACGATTATTGTTATTGAGAGGATTTCATTTGATTTATTGTTTTGTAAACATTGTGTTCTACTTTTTTTATCATCTACTCTCTAGTCTACTAATACTACCGAAACCAACAACTACAACTATGACACCTTTCATAATTTACTACATACATACTTATTATCTACATGTTCTACATTAATGTATACATATATATATTTTTTTTTTAATGAAATGCTTGTTTTTCTTTTCGAGGGTGTTGTGATAAATTTGGGGAAATATTTGTCATTATTTTTATATATTTTTTTATATTTTCTATTATGAAAATATTTTATTTTATTTGTGAATTAAAAAAACTTTTTTTATTCAACTTTGGAAAAATCCTCTGAATTTATCACAAACCTCTTTGACTAAATAATGTTTATGTGCCTAAATGTTGGATGCTATAGTAATGAAAATATTAACGTTAAAGGATCATTTTTCTTTCAGACAATTATAATTTTAGAATAATATTTTTCTGGTTAGAATATGGTTCTGGAACTGCAAAAATGTAAAAAAAACTTTACGACGATGACGGGTTTTCCCTTATTAATATCAAAAAAAAGACGTTTCGATTTTTCTCCTTTAACTCGACTATTCAGTTTGTTTCACTCAATTATTTCTAAATGGATTTCGACATAAAATAAATCTTAATCCTCAGAATTTGCCTTACTTCTTAATACCTATTTTTTACAAAAAAGAATTTCCAATTTTGGCCTCCATGTCAAGGTCTCGAAGTCGATTAATACCGATTTTGATTTTTCAGCCATTAAAATATAAAGTTTTCAATAAATGATTGCTCTGTTCCAGAACTGCAAGAATGTAAGCGATTTTCCCTTCATGATATTGAACAAATTGTGAGAGAACTTGTAAAGAAAATAAAATCAAAAATTGGTGCATACTTTTTGGCTCATATGAATTATTAGACAATTTTATTACCCAAGCTTAAGATTTGCATAGAATATCCGTAATCGGATGGCGAAAGTTTGTGGAATAGAAAAGGGAGAATAAAGTGAAGGAAGAAAGTGGTTCGGCCTTCGCTTTCTTTCCTTCTCTCTCTCTCTCTCTCCCTGATACTAATACCTGATCCGATTTTTTTTTTTCGAAGATAAACGGTGAGAGCTTTTCGTTGTCTATATCTTCATTTATCTATGATAGTACTACAGAGCAAAGGACGCCAGAATTGGAAATAAGTTTTAACCCGGTCTAGAAAACTTTAAAAAACTCTCCATATGGAACTCTTAAAAATAAAACATGTTTCATTGCATACTTTTTGGCTAATTTAAAAAAAAAAAGAAAGGTGAGAGTCAGAGCTCCAAAATACTCTCGGTTGTTCCCCTTCTCCTTTCCAATACCAATCCAATAAGGGTGACTATGCCTAGCTCGTTTTAGAGAGGGAGTAAAAATCGCATTAAATAAAAAAAGAAGTAAAAATCCATAAGTTCGGCCGGTTCGGACTTTGAATACCCTTCACCACTTGCAACGAAGTTGGCAATTCTCAAAAACAAAATCTGTTAAAAATTCTGTTAACATCTTAAAAATACCAAATGTAGCTGTTATATATCTACTATATTATACCAAAACGTGGACCTGCACACACAATTTTCTGTCATAGGCTGTAGCATCCATTACCAACTTCAAATACCAAATTTGAAGCAATTCTGGTGAATTATGTCGCTAAAATCATCAAAATACCAAATATCGGGAGGTACCGTTATATGGGGGCTAAACGATGACGTGGACCTGCAGAACAATTTTCTGTCATAGGCTGCAGTATCCATTACGAACTTCAAATACCGAATTTGAAACAATTTCGGTTAATAATGTCGCTAAAATCATCAAAATACCGAATATCGGGAGGTACCGCTATATGGGGGCTATACCAAAACGTGGACCTACATGGGCCATTTTAAATACCAAAAGTCTATCTTCAAAAGTCCTGAAGATATTATATACATTTGAGTAAAATTTTATCAACCTACTTCTTTTCGTTCGGAAGCTAGAGTGATTTCCTCAGACGGATAGACGGACGGACTTCGCTAAATCGACATAGAATTTTATGCTGATCAAGAATATATACAAAGACATAGAAGTATAATTTGTGGGATCTAAAATGTATATTTCGAGGTGTTACAAACGGAATGACAAACTTAATATACCGTCGATTTATGCATGACCGACCGTCCGTCTGTCCATGTATTTTTGTGAACAAAGTACAGTTCGCATTTATTACCCGATCCAGATGAAATTTTCCACAAATCATTTGTTTGGCCCAAGGACGAACCCTAATGAAATTGGAGATAATCGGTAAACATTTCGATATAGCTCCCATATATATCTTCGTCCGATTTGCCTTTTATTGTGCACCAAACGTATAAAATCAGCCCGAATAGTATGGAATTTTGCACATACAATCAAATTAAGCCTGAAAATAAGTATGCCAAATTTGATCGAAATCGGTTCAGATATAGCTATAGCTCCCATATATATAGTTTATCCGATTTGTTATTTTTGTCCTCCGCAGCTGTAATATGCACTCTGTAACAACAATATTTTGGGGAAATATAGAAATGCCTTTGCTAAATTCGATCGGTTCGGATTTCGATATAGCTCCCATATATATCAAATGAGCAATACAAGTAATTTAAAAGATACAAATGCTTCGGCATATCTGTTAAATTAGCAAAGTGGTGTAGGGTATCTATCATACTAAATTTCAAATTATTTCCCCTTATTTCATTACTATAACATCCAACAACTGAAGGCACACCTTAGATTTTCTCTCTCATGTTCAAATCATCGAAACAATTTTTTTTTTCATCAAAAAGACTAAAAAAAAATCAATTTCATATTTTTTTATAAAAAAAATAACTATTTAAGAACATACAAAGCAACACACCTAGGGTTAGTGCTATAGTTAATTTAAGGCTGCAGCAAAAACAAAAAGAAAAAAATACAAAAATAGAAACAAAAAGATAACAAGAAATTAATTAAGCTCAAAGCTTTTCAATATGCCAATTTGTTTTTGTTAAGTTATTATTGCAAGTGTACAGAATTTTCGTTGCCAAAACAACCGACCAAGCAACCATCTATCTATCCTTTCTATCGACCCAAAACAAAACGAAAAAAAATGCGAATCCAAACCAAAAAACTGTGTGATAGTAGTCTGGTTAAGCATGGTTTCCAAGCCACCAAACAATCCATAACCATAACCATACAACCACAGAGGATGATCATGATGATGTGCTGCACACATTTTGAAATTCCACTCTAACCCCAAAACTCTCTCAGAAAGCAAAACCAAAAGGTTGTGTGTTTTTTAATTTGAAGAGAATCAGCAACGTAACCAAAGGCGACTAATGTTTGACAACACTCTCTCTCTCTCTCTATAGCTTCATATTTCTTAACTTGTTTTTTTCTCTCGCTATATTGTGTGCTCCTGTGACCTGGCCCATGTAAGATGTATTGACCTGATGTCACACAATCTCATTATTATCATCATTCGAAAATAAAAATTTATAAAATTCATGGAACCCCAAAATTCAAAATTCATTTTGTCCCATTCGAAAGAAAGTTTTTTTTTTTTTTCTCAAAAATCCAATCAAACCACCCAATCCAACCACCAAACAACCAATCAAACTACCACCTTGAAAACCTAAAAACAAAATTCATAATCATACAAAACTTTGTTGTGTATTTAACTTTCAGTCTCCAGATACTCAGGCCTGGCAAAATGATTATCTTCAAGGTACAGGGTGTGAGATGTATACCGAAACCCTATCACCTTCATTTACCGGCATGACATTCCCACAAGCCAGCGAGTAAGACCCTAGAGATGATTTGTTCATACCATATTATTTCTCTCTTTTTCTCTACTATATAAACGTATTACTTACCTACTTACTTACCTACTTACCAACAAAAAACAAAAAAAGAAAACCTTACTTACCTTAACCTATATATGAGCATATAATCATACAAATCACATGCATACATACATACCAACATACTTCCAAAACCACACATACAACATATCCATCCCTGCAAAAAAAAAAAATGGAAAAGGAAAAAAAATCATTAAATCAAAATGGCATTTCATAGTTTAAAAACCAAAAAAAAAAAAAAAAACACAAAAAAAATATTTTTTACACAGTGTCTTGTTTTAAATTAAAGGAGAAATATTGAAAAAGTTTTAGAACCTAATTTGATGACTTGCAATAAAATCACTAAGGACTTAATGAGGGATTCACAGATGCCAATATTAAAAAGAAATGGAGGTAGAAAGCTATCCTGTTGTTTATATAAATTATAGGAACTCTGAAAAGAACGGTTTAATAAATTATAAATTTGGGTTTGGGCTTGACCACCAAAATTGGGACTGAAAAATCCTCGAAACACATATGAAACCTTAAAATACTTTAAATTAGAAGGTACCTCTACACAGGTGCTTCAGCAATAATGGACCAATATTTTAGTATCTTCATAAAGGAAATATTGGATGGATATTGTGTCTAAAACGTTACAAATCGAGAATTAAGTGGTCCCATTATATGATAGCTATATCTAAACATGAACCAATAAGGACCATTTTCAATACGAATAATTCATGCGTTATAATTCACATTGTTGTCGTACCAAATTTTATAGCTTGATCGAAATTATTCAACTCAAATGGTGCTGCACCTGAAATTTTTTTGCAATGGGTTAAGATTCACTTGGGCGCCATTTTGATAATTTTTTGTAAAAAAAGAGTATCAGGCGGTTTTGTACAAAATGTTGACCCTTTATGTAGGAGATACCGAAGGAGTGAATCAAAATTGTCCACTTCGCATCTGACCAAATTCTCATATAAAAATTGGACTATATTGAGATGTCATTTATATGAGATGTCATAAATTGCCGGGGATGTACCAGAAGAAGTAGACTGGTATCAGGCGGTTTTGTCGTCAAATTTATATTCTCAGCATATGCCAGTTCGGGAATAGGCTGATATATTCCATCTTCACAGCAGATCTTGTGTTAATAAACATATTCAGATTTGTGAAATTTCCAGAGAATCGGATGCTTATTCTGAATTTTAGGAGAGCTATAATTATTCAAAATTCAGAAGGATGGGGCCCACATATTCCAGCTTCACATCAGATCTTGTGTTAATAAAAATATTGGACTGTATCGAGTTTGAAAACAATTCGATGCTTATTTCGGATTTTATGAGCGTTGTGATTATTCACAATTTTGACCCCTTTGTGGGAGAGGTACCAGAAGGTACCTATTTTACATATTTTAACTTCACACCTAATATTTGGGCTGTGTGAAATTTGAAGAGAATCAGATGCTTATTTCGCATTTTATGAAAATTTTATTCAACATTTTGATCTCTTTATGGGGGAGGTACCAGATAAATGCTATATTCATAGACTAATAAATCCTTTATATATATAAAAGCTTGTTTTGATAGAAATATTGATTGGAAATTAGAGGACAATCGGACTCTTTTTTTCGCATTTTATGACAGTTATAATTTTTCATTTTTCAATTGGGACGGAGGTACCAGAAATGTTGAAACGATATATTCCATATTCACACCAGATCTTACCTAACGTACACAAAAATATTGGACTGTGCCGAGTTTGAAAAGGGTGTATTAGATCGAGTTCGGAGATGGGAAATATAGGTCCACTCCTCCCTCCGCCACAAAATTTAGACATTTTCAAAAAATATTTTACTGCTCAGAAAGAGAAAGGATGATCAGATTTTGACTTAACTTTGCAAATCTTATATTTGCGTCAGTACTAGGTCAGGTGCGAAAATGGATAACATCAGTCCACTCCATCAAGTAACTCCCCCACAAAGGGTTAACATTTTAAATAATTATAACACTTATAAAATTTTATCGAAGAGTCCGATTGTCTTCGAATTACACTTCTACCACTTCTTCTGGTACCTCCACCACAAAGGATCAAAGGTTTGAATACCCAAAACTTTTATAAAATCCAACTAACCATTCGGTTCACTTCATATTTCACACATCACAATATTTTTATAAAGCCAAGGTGTGAAGATGGAATATATCGGTCTCCCCCTCCTGGTACCTCCTCCACAAAGGGTGAAAATTTTGAATACCCCTGAAGCTCATTAAACTCGAAATTAACATCCGATTCCATTCAGACTTGGTACATCTCAATATTTTCATCAACACAATACCTGTTATAAAGATGGTTGAGATCGGACCATTTCTTCTGGTACCTCCTACTCATAGGGTTTAAGATTTTGAAAAACAAAAAGCTCAAAGAAAGCAAAATAAGCATCCAACTCTCTTTCGCGATATTTATATTATATCCGATACGAAATGGACAATATTGGCACATTCCATCGAAACCTCTGCATGAAGGGTCAAAATATATTTAAATAATCGAACATTGGCTGAGGGTATACATCTGTCGACAAATCCGACTGATACTTTTTAACTTGTTTTTTAATACAATAAGGGATATCTTCAAACAATGACACTGTGTGAATAATGTCTTCAACATATTTCAAATCATTTAATAAAACATCTACGTACATTCATACATACATATTGGTGTAAATAGTTGTCACACTGCAAACTCATTTTTCATATTTTATTACGAACCGAGAAAAAAAAACAACAATTGTCGTAATAAAACATTTCAAACATCATTTACATGAGCATCGAACACCCACAACAACAATAAAAAAACATCTAAAATTTTTTAAAACAAAGAATAAATCGAATTGTTTTCTTTAAAACTTTAGTTCTTTAGCAAGTTACAAACGAAATAAAACTGGAATGCCAATTAATTTTTTTTAACTAAACTCTTCAAATATTTAACACCGATAATAACTTCTTCTTATCTTTTTTTTTTAATTTTTTATAAAAAACAAACTTCGTAACGTTTTCTTAGTGATTTGAAATAAAAACCAAAAAAACTGCAACCAACTTAACACCTTTGAAGTTGTTCCACCCAACCAAAAACAACCCACCCACCTGCAAAGCATGTTGTCTCTTTTTTCATCGAATGATCCTCTAGAACATGTATTTCCAACAACAGCAACAAGTAGTAATATTTAATAACAACAACACTCCATCCACACAACACCACTTCTCCTACTCCATTTTGTATGACTTGTGTGTTCCCTCTCTCTCTCTCTCTTCACATTTTTCTCTGTGTTTTGGGTTACTTTGTCTTGTCAAAGGATATGTACTGTAATGTCAAACTAGTCAACTTTTGTATGTAGCATTTCTAGATTGTCTAATTACGAAAAAAGCTTGATTTTTTTATTTACTTTTTTGTTGGCTTTTTTATTATTATTTTTTATTTATTTATTTTCTTTTTTGGAATAAAATGCACTGTAATGCGTATTTGTAGTTATTGCATGTTTTCTTTTGTACCTCATTGTAAATATATATATACATATGTACATAATATTTATAATACACTTGGATACTACCCCTCTTTTTTATATAAAATATTTATCAAAAGAGAATTATATAAATCTTATGATAGTATATTTAAGAGCTTAAATCTAATTTTTATTTTATTCTCCAAATGCATTTTATTAACGAGAATTATTTCTTTGTCTGTCTGTTTTTTGTGTGTGTCCTTGCGATGTTTTCAAACTCTAGATTGTGTTTCTCGAAGCTGAAACTGCTGCTGCTGGCCATTGAAATCAAAGGCAATGAGGATGGTGCCGATAGTAAAATCTCCATTAATCCCAGAAATGCGAAAATCCAGGCCAATACCCAAGGATTTTTCATAGCACAAAGTGCTGATGAAGTCAAAAGGTACGGTATTTTAAAAATATAATAATTTTCGAAAATAATTGGTGCCTTACTTTTTGAAGTAAGTCCCCTATAACCATGGTAAAATTAAGAAGGTAAAGTCAATTCAAATAAGCATACCCATCTCTGCATTTTCTGTAATTTACCTTGTCACATTTCACTACATAAAGCTGGGTTCCCATCTCTGATTTGTATATGTACAATAGATTTATAATACAAATTTTGAGATAGAGATGTTGTCAAATGAATAATTTTTGAAAAAAATGTAAACATATGATTGCCTGACTTAACCTCCTTGATTCTACCATGCCTATAACGTTAACGAATAATTTTTGGGATTTTTTGGAGACCACATTTTTCAATAAAAATCCATTTAAATTCTGTTTAAATGATAAAAATACCGAATATTGCCCCTTATATTGGGGTCTATACGAAGACGTGTACCTGCATAGGCAACTTTTGTCATTACAATATTCAAATACGAAACTTGAAAAAAAAAATCCGTTAAATAATGTAGCTAATGTTATCGAAATACTGCATATAGAGAGGATATATAGATGTATGGGGCTATATGAAGACCTGGACCGGCATAGACACTTTTCTGTCACAGGTACCTATTAGGGACTTCAAATACGAAATTTGATATAATTCCGGTAAATAATGTACCTAAAATCGTAAAAATATCGAATATTACGAGATACCGATATATGTGGCCTATGCGAAGATTGGACCTCCATAGACAATTTTCTGTCACAGGCTATAGTACCCATTAGGAATTTCAAATACGAAATTTGAAACAATTCCGGCGAATAATGTCCTTAAAATTATTAAAATACCGAATATCGGGGGGGTACCATTATATGGGGGCTATACTAAATCGTGGAATTATATAGTCTATCTTCGAACTAGACCTGAATGCACACAAAAGACGGATCTGTGCAAAATTTTGTCTTTACCTTTCTATCTTTATTCGTTTTGATTCTAGACTGGTTACATCAGACGGACGGACGGACAGGGCTAAATCGTCTTAGAATTTTACGAGAACTTAATATACCCTCCATACTATGTATGGTGGAGGGTATAAAAAGTGGAATTAATTAAGTGAAATAATTAATTAAGGAGAAAATCAAGCAGATTAGAAAGTAGAGCTAAGAATAGAAAACAAGTCTATCGATGTCTATTTATGTAAAAAACGCTACAGCAGCATCACTGTAGCATTGACTGAACGTACCCCACATAAACACTCTCTTTCTCTTGTTATGTTTATTGTAAAAAAATCCGGTGTTGTCATTATCATTTCCTTTTCTGTGCAGAAAATATACATTTTGAAAATTTCGACCTTTTGAGGGGGAGGTACCAAAACGAAAAATACGAAAAAAATCGAGATTATGTTAATTACACTTAAGAATAGAAGACACGTGTATTGGCGTTTTCAAATCGTAAAGCAACCTAAATAGAAATCCTTTACTTTTTTTGGACATTTTCGGATTACGATTCCTCGAAATCCATGTATTTGACAATATTGCAGATAAAAATGCGAGGATTAGAATTTATACCCCAAGCAAATCAAAAAAAATTAATCATTTCGGTCCTCTTTTAAAAATATGGCTAAAAACTCCCTTTAAACTCCCAAGTCAAAATATTCTACCAAATTATTTGTCAACAAATTCTAATATAGGTCCTAGAATATATCGAAAGTCCACATCTAACCTAAACGTCAGGAATTTATATATATTGGAAACATATATTATCTTTAACCGATTTCGGATTAATTGAGAACCAAATGGGGAACATCTGCCCAAAAGTAATGAATTTTGGTACATCCGACCGAATTCAGTTTAGAAGCATTTACATCAAATTTGGAGAAAATCGGTTCAGATATAGCTATAGTTCCCATATACATATTTCATCCGATTCGGGGTTTAAGTCCCTCACATTCGTAATATCCATTCGACAACCATTCACAATGATAGTTGGTACCAGGTGCCTTATAGAGCTCGGAAATACCTTAGCCAATTTTTATACAGATAGGCTAAGATTTGGATATGGCTTCCAAATATGTTGCCTGCGGACAAGCCTTGTCGATTGGAATGGACCCAAAGGGCACAAAGGTCCGTCGAATATGGGCAACCCTGTAAAAGTACGTAGCCGTACCTTTTAGTAGTTACTGCGAAAATCTCCAACAAAACAACATTTTAGAGGGAAGACGTCAAAGACAAGAATATTCATCATCAAATTTTACAATAGGTCACCAAAGAAAATGAAACAATATCTCCATTGCATTTCAAAAAATATTTGCTTCAATGTTGCCAAAAGAAACCAAAAATATTTTTATCATGTTTTTCTCGGCCATTTTTCGATTTGACGCCTATAAGTAGCATATATTTTGGTTCTATGCAGAAAGTGTCAAAAGGAAAAATATTCTAAACAAAATTTCACTATAAATATCAGAATAAACCATACCTCTAAATACAATAGTTTTTAAGAAAATTACATTCGAAATTTATGACAAGCAGGTGAAATTTATTTGTTTGTTTTTTTACTGTCAATTTATTGTACCTCACATGAGTTGATGTACAATTCTCCTACAAAATATAATTGCAGAAAAATGACATCAAAGGCAAAAATATTCTTCATCGAATTTTACTATAAGTTACCAAAGAGAAGATAACTCTATCTCCACTGTATATCATAAAAATATTTGTATTTTAACATTTTATCACTAAAAATTAGGATTTATTTTCGGTTTTTTTTTTTTTTTTTGAAACATTGATGCGAATATTTTTTTTAATATACAATGGAAATATACATTTTTTTCTCTTGTAACTTATAATAAAATTTGATGAAGAATATTTTTGTCCTTTACGTTATCATTCTTAAATTATGCTTTGTAGATGAATTTTGCCTGAACTCATATGAGTTATATTAAATTGACAGTAAAAAAAAGCAAAAACATAATTTTCATTCAAAGTGCATAAATTTCCACTGTCATTTTTATAAGAACTATTGTACCTAGATGTAAGGTTTATTCTGAGATTCATAGTGAAATTTTGTGTAGAATATTTGTTCTTTTAACAACATTCGTCTAAAACGAAATTTTATGTTACTTTCAGGCCTCAACTCGAAAAAAGTCAGAGGAAAATTTTGTCACAAAAAATTATAGAATATTTTCGGGTTCTTTTTTCGGAACATAAAATCTATTATTTTTTGATATACAGTGGATTTAGAGATTTCTTTTCTTTGGTGACTTCTGGTAAAATTTGATGACGAATATTTTTGTCGTTGACGTCATCCTTTTAAAATGATGCTTTATTGGAGTTTTTTGTACAAAACCCACACAAAATACGGTTTTAACCCTAATATATGTTTTCAATAAATACGAATTTTTGGCGTTCAGGTAAAGTTTTGGCACTTGACGTCTTCTAGGACCTATAGTAGAATTTTATGACAAATAACTTTGTAGAATATTTTGACTTGCTACGATTACATTTAAAAGAAGTTTTTAGCCATATTTTCAAAAAGGACCAAAAGGACACCTTTGTTGACTCGCTTGAGGGTTAAAATTTCCGCCCAAAATATTCCTTGTATTTCTATTTGCAATATTGCCCAAGACACTATATGCATAAAATGCACTGATTCCGATGAATCTTAATCTAAAAATTTCCAAAAGTGTGGAAAAGGGGGAACTTGCCCCTCCTACTTTGCTTACTTGGCGATGTAAATTTTCAAAAGGCCGATACACGTGTCTTCCTTTCTTAGCTCTAATTTCATAATTTGCTGAATTTTTCCCCGTAATTATTTTGAAGAATTTTGAAGTCACCTTATAGAAAATATTCTGAAATTTTGAAAAATAATCTTATTTTCTCTTCCAGAGCATGGTTCTATTGCAAGGCTTGCCATGAGGATATCAAAGATGAAACCTTGATCAAAAAATGCAAATGTAAAAACTGTAAGTATAAATGTTTCTTTTGTTTTGCATATTTTCGTTATTTTTCGAAAATTTCGAATCTAATCAGTTTTTAGAGTAATATTTCATGTGCGATTTTATTTTGATTTTTTATTGAATACACACTGGTTTGTGTTTGATTTTTTTATGAAAAAAAAAAAAAAAAAACAACTATACTTATATTGTGAATTAAGACTAAGAAACTTATTTTTTATATACCAACTATTATCAAGAAATGAAAAAAAAACGAAATAATTTTAGGATTTTCTTTTTAATTTTAAGATAAACAAAAATGATGATATTTTAAATACCTTTTTTTTACAAATTTTTATATTGTCTTATTATTATATAACTACCACTTCTACTACTACTACTACTCTACTCGTAACATGTTGGCGTGGCCTTAACTCCTAACATCAAAATCAATTAAATGAACGAATAAACCAAAAACAAAAAAAATACAACTTCTACGTACCGTCTATATTAACGATCTACAAATGTTACAAAATCCAAAAAAAAAAAAATATAACACCTTTAAAAATCACCACCAAAAATATATAAAATCTAATTGAATTCTATATTTTCAATAAAACAAAACGATTAAAAATATTTCCAAAAAAATCACATACCAAAACCCATAACCAAACAGTGGCAGTACAGCCCAGGAACAAGTTTGATGATTTAGGTAAATCACTCTCTTTGTCATAAATTTCAAATAAGCTCAAGTTTTAATTACCAAAAAAAAAATGTCTGTGTTTTGTTTGAAATGACTAACCTCCTCTTTTTAACTCAATTCAATGTTTAGTTTTTGTAACCAACCAACCAACCTATTTTTACCAAACTAAAATGGAAACCACCCCCCTCACAACCAATCAAATAACCTACACCATCACCAAAAACCAAACAACAACAACAAACAACAAACAACCGAAAACAAAACAACAAATCTCCTCCCCCCCAAAAGTTCTGACAAACAGTTAAATCAATAAACCCATTAATAAAATATTCAATTTCTGTTACTACTACTACTCTAATCTAATCTACTCTACTACTACCACTACTACTAATGCACTCCTGTGCTTTTAATAATACTTGTATAATTTTGGTTGTGTGTATGTGTTTTAAATATTTAAGATTTTTTTTAAAGAATTTTCTTTGGTCATTGTTTGGAAAAAATAAAATAATTGCTTTCTTGTTTTGAATATTTTTGTATTCCTTTTTCTCTTGATTCCTTTGGTTTTCCTCTTGTGGTGATTAGTTTTGTAAATTATTCGTTAAAATTTTTCATATTTTTTATTTTTTTTTTTTTTGTAAAAAAAGTTTTCAAAATCTTGACTTTCAAACAATTCACTGTAATATAAACATATATAGAGCAAACGTTTGAAAGTCTGTAAATATGTTTAAAAGTCTTTAGTATTTTTTAATTTAGATAAATATTTTAAATTAAAGATTCGATGACATTTATGGAGGAATGGTACAAAAAAATATTTAAGATGAACTATTAAAATATGCATAAAGATGAAATATTTATATAAAGCCTTTATTATTTTTGTCTATTCTCTTCATGAAATGGGGTGAATTATAAAACGGCTCAAATTCCGAGCCAAATAGGAAAACTACAATTACAGCCTAAGTCAGTGATTTTGAATCGTTACATCAAATCAAATGTTCACTCAAATTCATTTAGACAGTAAAACTCACTCGAATTCGAGTAGATAGTAAAACACGCTCGAACGGGAGTAATCCTACCAATAGAGAAAATAATTGAGCATACTCTAATACTCTAAGAGAGAAAATAATTGAGCATACTCTATTTTTCCATGCCACTCGAATAAGAATTAGCTTCCTTTGCTCTTGGGAGTACAATCATAGATGGACAAAATATTGAAATCGATATTCTAGAGGAAATTTAAAAATAACATTCTTCCGTGTAAATTCTCATTTCTTAAAATAATTTTTGAATATTATCCGCTTATGTCTGTTTATTAATGTTTCAAAATCGAGCGGATTCTTCTCCTGCCGAGTACTCTTTTAGTTTATGTCATGCCGTCCTTTCATATCAAAGTTTGGCCATTTTCTCAACCCACAGCTCCAAATGAAACAAAAACAAATATTAAAACTATACGTTAAAGACAAAATATATCGCTCATTTAGTGAAAGAGAGGCATAACCGGAAAACTTTTAGGTTTGCAATTCCTATTTTCTTTTCAGTTCTTATTTACTAATATTTGATGACCTTTTACTTCGAACTTTTACTCTATTTCGAATATTTGCACTGCCACCTATTATTTTTCAAACAAAAATGCTCGTGAACGCTCCCACTCAAAAATACGAAAAAGTGTTAAACTTGTACTCTCGCGAGTAAAATCTAAAAATTGAGACTCGGAATCTATAAATCCTATGCTTTTATAAGCGACACCCCACACAAATCAGGAAAAAGAATATAATTTTTCACTCGCTTTTTCTCTATTTAGAATATATTAACTTTAACTCTCATTTTTCAGACCGGAGAACTCGCGAGAGCTTCTACATTAAACAAAAGAGTGGAGAGTAAACTTTCTGTAAATGTCCTAATCTTCGAGTATTACCACTCACGAGTATTTATCTCTCTCGAGCATTTTTTTTTAGAGAGTAAATTAAGAGCTGTGCATGGGGTATGCCAAGACCTGTAAAACATTCCAAGATATCTCTCTCACCGTAACGAACTTATTCTGATGAATTTTAAATTTCAGAATTTAAGATTTAAAAATAAGAAATTACAGAATCTTTACAACCTGTGGCCCTGGAACCACTTTATGGGTTTGAAATGCCGATGAAATTGAAAAAAAGTGTAGGATAATTTGCATATATCGAGAACCAAAACCCAAGGGTGTTTCTTTATTGGATAAGTCTACAATACTACTCGGAAAAAAATGGGCGAATATTTTTGTAAAACAAATAACCCTCAGTCGAGTCATTAAAAGGGTCTCATAGGTTTTCTTTAAAAACATTAAAAACCCCCCATTAGGATGCGATCGTATCAGATCAAAATATCCCACAGACTCCAAATTCATTTAAAATAACAAGTGAGAAAGCAGCTAAGTTCGACAGGGCCGAACATTTGATATCGTCCACCATTTTGAAAGAACTTGACAAAATTTCAAAGAAAATCTGTAGAAAAATATCTTTCAAATGAAACCTCTATACGAAGGGGCTATACGAAGATGTCGTCCTTTAAAGGAATGTGTCATAGGTTGTCGTACGGATTACGTACTTTAAATACGAAATTTGAAACAATTCCGGTAAATAAAGTCGCTGAAATTATCAAAGTACCGAATATAGGGAGGTACCATTATATGGGGGCTATATGAAGATGTGGACCCGCAATATTTTGTCATAGATTGTAGTACCCATTACAAATTATAATTTGAAACAATTCTGGTGAATAATACCGCAAACATCATCAAAATACCGAATATAGGGAGGTATCGTTATAGGGGGCTACACGAAGGCGTGGGACCAGCATACGTGATTTTTTGTCATAGGCTGTAGTACCCATTAAGATCTTCCAATACGAAATTTGAAACACTTTCGGTTAATAATGTCGCTAAAACCATCAAATTACCGAATATCAGGAGGTAACGTTATATGGGGCTTATACGAAAACGTTGACCTGCATACACAATTTTTTTGTTATAAGCTGTAGTGCCCGTTACGAACTTTAAATACAAAATGTAAAACAATTCTGGTCGAAAATATCGTTAAAATCATCAAAATACCGAATATTGGGAGGTACCGTTATATGGGGGCTATATAAAAACGTCGACCTACATTGTCCTTTTATGAACATAACCTGCCTACTGACAAAATACACATGTGTGCAAAATTTTAGCCTTCTATCTCAATTCGTTGGAAAGATAGATGATTACAACAGATAGACGGACAGACAGATGGGCATCTCTAAATCGACTTAGAATTTTACGCTGATCAGGAGTATACAGGGTGAGATAAAAAAAACTGTAACAAAGTCAAACGCCATAATTTTTACATTTTTTTTCAAATTTTATTGAATGAAACCAAAAATGTCGAAAATATAATTAAATTTTAGAATAATTTTAGATTTGTTCGAATTGGTCACCCTTGGCACGAATTAGGGCCTTCCAACTGTCAATGAAACGTTCACGCGCTGCCCGAATGTTGCTCTGCGGTATTTTAACCCATTCCCGGCGAAGCGCTTGTTTGAGATGATCAACACTTTGGTATTTTTAGTGCCAACCTTTTTCCTTCCAAAATGCTTCAGACCAACGGATTTGGTGGTCATTGTGCGCTGGAAATGAAGCGAGGAACCTCATGTTGTAACCATTCTTGGGTGGCGCGTGATGAGTTCGATTACGCTGAGTCCTGTTGGAATGTCCAAGTTCTGCGGCCAAAATGTTTGCGTGCCCAAGGCTTTAATATACCCTCCAGAATATTTTCGCGATAATATTCGGCATTTATTCTGATGCCACGGACGACTAATACGAGCGGAGAGCAACCATCGGCTGTTATGGCGGCCCACACCATCACCATGGCCGGCGCTTGAATTGTGGTGGCCAACCGAAGGTGCACATTTTCAGCTGACCTCTTTGGCAAGTAAACACGATCATTTTGTTTGTTGACAAACTGCTGGACAACGAATAATTTCTCATCGGAGAAAACCAAGAGTTCGGGTTAAAGCCATTGAAATTCCAAAAAGTGCAAGAACTTACACCGCAACGGAAAGAAAATAGACTCAATTTCCATTTTTCGGCCACCTGCGACGCGGGTTTCGATAGAAGTCGCTTCTTTACTTTTCGAACCATTTCTGCTGATGTTGCTGTTTTCTTCCGTCCACTTCCTTGACGCCGAGCTACGCTATCAGTATCACGGTAACGAGCGATGGTACGAGACACAAACGATTTATTCACATTTAAATGCTGGAGTGCTCTAACGATAGCCACTTGTGGTTGTCTAGCCAAATATAGAGAAATCACACTATCACGCTTGAATTCCATCACGAAAACCTTTTTTTCTGGAAAATTCTCAGCAAAATGCTTTTGTACGCTGTCGGACGAGTGGCTTAGAATTGACAGCAGTCTGACGTTGGCTGCAGTTTTTTAATCTCACCCTGAATACGTCGACGTTTTTTTGCTAATTAAAAAAAAACTTACAAATTGTAAGACTTTTTGTACCAATCTATCATAAACTCTTCTTCTTCTGTTTTAATTCCACCACATTGACGAAAATTGTTTTTTTTTTTTAATTTTTGTTTTATTTCTCTTCAATATAACTTTTCTTTTGCAAAATTTGTAATGGAGCCTGAATTATTTTTTTGTAAAATATTTTTCATTATTTATTTTTCAAATTTATATTTATCCATATGGACAACCAATTCGCAAATGATACACTTTGCTTTGCCAAGAAAAAAAACGAAAAGTATTTATTTGATTTTAAAAATTTAGCAAACACACACAACGCAGATCAAAATTGTTTCTAAATTCCAAATTGAGATTGCAAGGATTTAATATAATGCACCTATTACAAACCCAACAACAAAAAATAAGACTGGAAAAAATATCCAGTTTATTTTTTTTTTTTTTTTTTTTTTTTTTTTAATTTGTTTTTATGCGTACGTTTTTTTTTATAAAGTTTATATCTTAAATACACACCCAATACATACTCTCTCTC